GTATTATCTGGGGGCCACTTAGCGTCTAGACCGACTTATGAGAAGATTCGCCAAAAGTACTGGTGGCCAACCATGAATCGGGACGTCCGTACTTGGTGTCAAGAATGCCAAGCCTGTCAACGTCGGAAAACAGCCCACAATCGGAACAAATGACCAACGGGACATGTACCAGTACAAAGACCGTTTGAACGTATTTCGGTTGACCTAGTTGAATATAAAGTAGAATCAGTTTCAGCCGCCGGGGTACGGTGCAAACATGTCCTATCCATGATGGACCACCTAACCCGATTCACCGTGTTGACTCCGATTCCCAACAAGTCAGCAATCACTGTCGCTCAGGCCATTATCGACCGCATCATCAGCATCTTTGGATCGCCTGAACTGTTGCATTCCGACCAAGGACCTGAATTTGAGAACAGTGTAGTCCACCAATTACAGCGTATTCTGAACTATAAGAAAACCCGCACGACACCATACCGTCCGCAGGGTAATTCTGTCTCAGAACGAGTACATGCTACCATGCACGCAATGCTTGCCATGCATAGTTCCATGAACCGCGATAACTGGGCATCATTGCTGCCTTTTGTCCAACTGGCTTACAACACGTCATTTAGCTCCACCATGCATGAAACACCATTCTTTCTTATGTTTGGTCGGAAGCCACGACTACCAGTTGACATTATCCTCGGCATCCCTCATGTGGGAACAACAGCGAATACCGAGGAATTCTCTAAAACACAGGAAAATCTACAGGTTGCTTTTGAACTAGCGCGCCGTAACCTATCGGAACGCACAAAAAAAAACAAGCTGCTAAGAACGCTAAACTGCGCCCTATCCCTGTGTTTAAACCTGATGATCTAGTACTTGTGTACCGCCCATACCAGGATGGATTCGGATGGACCAAATCCGAAATTATTGTTACCGTGGAGAGGACCATACGTCATCTGCTCTAAATTATCACCGGTGGTATATAGAGTGAGACGCCAGAACGAAACTCGAGAGGTTTCGGTCCATTTAGCCCACATGAAACAGTACTACGCGAGGAAAACGCCACCTGCGCCAGACTTTGATAAGCTTTCCGAGTTTTTCTTAGGACGCCAGATTCCGTTGCCCGAGCTAGACCATCCCGACGAAGCTCAACCGAAAATTGAATCCTACGTCGTTGACAAAGTGGTAAGCCATAAGAGTGGTAAGGGGCCGAAAACCCCGTACAACTACAAGTATCGTTTGCGTCTTCGAGGCTACGGCCCTGAGTCAGACCTTGAATATAGAGCAGACGAAATTCCACAATGTCAAGAAATGATATCTGCCTACCGAATCCGTTGTGGTTTGGAAATCGTGCAGCCTAATAAATCGTCGTCTCGTGCCCCAGTTGAACAGGGAGACCCAAAATCACCCAGTAAAACAGGGAAACGAAAACGAAAACAGGCAGCTACTCCTCAAGAACCTTTAAGTCGGAAATTGGCAACGCAAAGTGGCTCTGAGCCACCGAACAAAACCAAGAAGCGACGAAGAAGGCTCCTAAAGGAGGGTCCATTACCCAAGTCGCGTTCTGCTACGACACAGAGTGATACTCAATTGCCCTGCCGTACTAGCAAACGAAAACGAACTAGGGCCCGGAAATTAAACGATTGATTTATTCTATCGTTCCTAACAGTTGCCATGTCTATCTTTTCCGAGACTCGGGACAAATTTATACTACTATTATTCTGTGTTATATATATATTTAGCACAGGACCAGTAGCCACGGTGGTTGGTTGTATCCAGGGGAAACAACCTATTTTTGAAGTGTTTGGGGAAACACTCGCGAGGAGAGTTGAATTATACCACCGCTGTCCCAAGATCTTATTTTTTGATGAATAGATAAATTTACCAGAGGGTCACCTCATTACAAGTTCATCCCCCATCAATACCTTATTTTTTGATGAAGAGATAAACTTGCCAGAGGGTCACCTCATTACAAGTTCATCCCATCAAGATCTTATTTTTGATGAATAGATAAACTTGCCAGAGGGTCACCTCATTACAAGTTCATCCTCCATCAATATCTTATGTTTTGGTGAACAGATAAACTTGCCAGAGGGTCACCTCATTACAAGTTCATCCCCCATCAATATCTTATTTTTCGATGATGAATAGAGAAAACTTGCTAGAGGGTCACCTCATTACAAGTTTATTCCTCAGCACGATATTATTTTATGATGAAAAGACAGACTCGCCGGAGGGTCACCTCATTACGAGTCTATCTCTCATCAACCCCACAGCATTATCATGCGAAATATTTTAGTACACTAGCTGTCATCATGATAGCCCAGTACCCACAATTTGTTTTTCTAGACTATACTAGTATGGACCACATCTATCACTACTCCGTCTGAAGACTCCGTGTTTTTTAACACGCGTTGTATGATAATCAGGCCGAGTTGATGATGTTGTACCAGGTAGGTTAACTCCAATACATGTGTCTCCATGAGCCACTCATGTCTATGGCCGCCAAAAGCACATCTTTAGCACAGATGGACTTGTGGCGCATAGAGGGGGGGGTGATGTGGAGGACACCTGTCAGGAGTATAACCAACCATGTGTGCACATACAAAGTGTAGGAAGATATGGCTCCCTCGGGGTATCTTGTCACAAGGAGAGTGACAGGAAATGCACCGTCGGAGATGGATATCTTCCGAAGTCCCTGGCCACTTGCCGAAAGTGGAAGCGGAGAGTCTTCGACTCTCCTCTCCCTCTGCCGCTATGGCCACTCTCTCTTTCTACCCTCTTCTCCTCGTTTACAAATCACGAGAGGAAATAGCCTTCCCCTGGCAGTGGGATAATACTGCCACGGCACCGGCATCTGTCTCCGACAATAGCCAGTGTCCTCATTGTCTTCACATTTAAAAAACCGTTCCGTTCTCTCTGCTCAGTACCTTCTTCTGTCCGTACTAGTCTAGCACTTGACGGGGTCGATTCCCGTGGTCACAACTAACTTACCCAAAAAAGGTATACGAAAATAAAATGGACCCGAAGGGTCTACAAGCCAATAAAAGTCAACGACAGATAGTCTAGGCCATTCCGCTCGCCTCTCTACACGCTATGGGGGGTAACCCTAGATTGGAAAAAGATAGAAAAAGTAAAAAGAAAAAGAAAAATAAAGAGAAAGAGAAAGGGAAAAAGAAAAAGAAAAAAGAAAAAAGAAAAAACTGTGGAGCTTGGGAATCCGAGACGCTCGGGCTTGGTCTCCCTCACCCCTTCGGCGGCACTCTCTCTTGTCTCTCTCTTCTGAGACCCTCTCCTCTCTAAATCTCAACGAAGAGAACTGCCAGCCCTTAGTAGTGGGTAAAGACTACTGCGACCTGGGCCTCCCCACAACGAGGGAAGCCAGTGTCCTCAGTACAGCAGCAGTAGTTTCTGAGCAGGTGTGCATGCCCGTCTCCGACAGCAACCGTCCGCACAGAGGATGTACCTGCGCAAGCAATACCTGTTGGCAATCTTCTCCACCTCATCCTTGGACAGAGCATGCGGCAAGCGCACATGCTATCGGTGCTAGATGTGAAGACGCTGACGGGAAACCGCCTCACAGAAGCGCCAGATCGACGAAAAAAACGGTCCGCTCATCAGAGAATCGAGACCATCATCCACTATCTATCGCACAAATGCATAAAAATCGCGATAAATTTTACTATTCTGTACTACGAATAGAGAGCTGTGATCGGAGCTGTGATCGGAGCTGTAGTCCCGAAAACCCTTGGCTTTGAGCTAAATTTTGCACACAGCAGACGAACCACCCTTCACTCCCAATACTGGGAACCACACGTACCGCAATCACAACAACATCAAGCACCGAGGCAGTACGTTAGCAACGGCTCGTGTGCGCTTTCTCTGCTCTCCCCCGCGGATGCGGCACCGGGTTGATCACATGTTCAGGGTGCAGTATGTACCCTCCGGTGGTATTTTGCGTTTGAATCTTACAGTACCGGTAGTAGGTAGTAGATTGGATCTGGAAAGGATATCTGCCCCACGTCAGAGAGATTATCGTATATGACACAAGATAACACACCCCCTGGACCGATTTTCAAAGCTCGATTACTCCACGACGAAGAGGATGCATAAATGAAACAATACGTTTTCGAACAGCTCTCGACGAGACGGTTCCAACGCCGCCGTTTTCGGCGCTGTGACTCTTCCTGCTGTTGAGAAATCGAGCTTTGAAAATCGGTCAAGGGGGTGTGTTATCTTGTGTCATATACGGTAGGCATGGGTGAACAGTATTTGTACTACGTGAGTCCTGGTGCGCATTGCTGATAAGCGTGCTTTTGGGGTGGGCTGCCTGTGTCTCCCTGCTGGTCTCTATGTCTGTTTTTTGCCCTTAGCCGAGGCACAACGGCGATCTTTCGGCACGCAAAGTGATCGGAGCTGAGAACGGAGCTGAATCGGCCTGTAGTCACGTAACCTCACAGAAAGACTACCGTACCCGTTCGAGACATAACCTCCAGCCGAAAGGGAGGTGTTGAAGTCTTTTCAGTACATAAGTGGATTGAAACCTTGAGAGGTGCTACATGTAGGTTGTTGGTTCCTGACGCGGGTAGGCGCATCGGCGGACGTCATTTGCTATAGCTCATACCTACACGATGCAGTTGGTTTGAGGTCGATTGGGAGCTCTCCGTGGGCGGAGATCTGCCTGGAGGCACCAACAAGTCTACAGATTGCTGTGGAGCAAACAACATTATTACCGATTAGTCTACATGCAATGCGTGCTTGCATACAACAAGTTGGCTGCATATTCTCTTCTTCCAGATGCACAAGTGCATTCTACTCATCCTTCAATCAAATGTATATTCATCATTCAACACAACGCAACACAGCATTGTAAGTGGGTGTAATTATGCCTCCAGCATGCTGGCTGTCGTCCGCGCTCTATCGGCCTTTGCCTTGGAATCGCTTAATTTGGGCACGGACGGCGCGATTGCGCCAAGAACCTTGAACATATGATTCACAGATTATGTACTTGCCGTTGCGGAAAAGTGTGCCTTCCAGGGTCTTCGGCACCTTGCCCGTCACCTCGATCTCAGTCAGGGGGTGGTCTATGCAAGGCTGGAGGGTTCCACGCCATGGTTCCTCCCTGATCGACTGCAGAAACACTTCAGGCACTCCCTGCGCTTCGAAGCTGGGCATAGACACGGCTGCGCACATGTCACGCATGGCTTGCCCCGCTCGCAACTTCGGAGCTCCATTCGAGATAGGGAGCTTACCCCCAGCGAATGCTGAGGTGAAGCGCAGGTGGAATAATATAAGAAGAACTACTGCTGCCGTCGTGCTCTCGCTGACGAAACCGTTCATGGCGTCCGGGATGTCGAGTGAGGGTGGGTCTCACCGCAGTTGGTAGAACGCGTCAAGTAGTAGCATCAAGTCCCTCCGCGTGTGGATGCCTCCTGGAATGAGGGGGGATAGGGGGACAGGGTAATTTTTCCAACTAACTACGAATGAAGCAGCAGCAGTTGTTGTTGTTGTTGTTGTTGTTGTTGTTGTTGTTGTCTTCACATTAAAAACCGTTCCGATCTCTCTCTACCCAGTACCTTCGTATGTCCGTACTGATCCAACACTCGACGCGGTCGATTCCCGTGGTCCCTAAAAGGTACACTCAAATAAAACTGTCCGCAAGTCAATAGAAATCAACGAGAGATATTCAGCAGTAGTTGCCCCCGATAAGCTTCCCGAGGACGGTGCACGGAGAGCCGAGAAGCTCAGCGAGGAGGACTGAATCCACAGCGATCCTTCACAGAACCGTGTGTCAGGTGTGTGACTATACATTGGCAGTACCTTTGGGGTGCAATCGTGCAAAAGTCCACTCTTGCGGGCCATCTCAAATAATGGTCTGGCCTTCAATAGTCATCATGTTGAACTCGGCGAGTGCACGGCGCTCCACGATAGAGCAACCTCTTCCCTCCTGCGTGAGGGGGAAGCCTTGGCATGAGAGGTCCGCGCTTGAGGACCTGAACTGTGACGGTAGAGGTGAAAGAATTGTCACAGCAGTCCAGAACGCGCGTGTTGCTCCAACTGCTGCTGTGGAGTGCATCATCGAGCTTTGAAAATCTCAGCCCAGGGGGTGTGGTATCTTGTGTCACGTACGGCAATCATGACCCACAGTCAGCTGATCATGACCCATGCGGAGTGTGTGAGTCGTGCGTAAACACATACCAATGGTAAGTTAGACAATTAGCTGGTGGATGGCGGTATAGCCAGCTGGTACGGTTTCTAGAGTTTGCCTCTCGAGCGCTTGCCCCGTAGGCCTGTGGCGGGAATGTACGCATAGCAGAACGTACTTTTTTTTTTCTCCCATCATTGGACTCTGTCGTCTGCCCCTCTGGCCCCCATCCTCCACTTCTACTAGCTAGACGACCCAACCGGGGTCACATAGGAGCGAAGGGTTGGACCCCCTCCTGCGGTTCCTGCCTGAGATATTTTTATCGCGAGAAGGGTACAGCAATCCCTTCCCTCGCGACTTACGAAGTCGATCGAGTCTAGTTTACTGACAACCAACGAGCTTTCTTTGCAGCGCGTCGCTTCCAACTTAGACCAGGGTTTATTTAGTGAGAAAAATAACTCACTTTGCCGGGACTCGAACCCATGACTTGGCCCTTAGTAGGCTGCGAGGGTACCCACTAGACCACCGGGGCGACCTGTAGGGCCCTGAATAACGCCGTTGTGCCCAGCGAATCGACCGGCACTACGCAGGGCCACCGGCGCTAGTCAACCGGCGTTATTGACGCCCATGGTGGCGCGCCAAGTCTTCGCGGAGGATTAATGAAGGAGACTTGCACAGAAAAACAACAGCTACAGTGGCGGTCGGTTCTGTACCCTTGCCCCAAGCTTGCCCGGACAAAGAATAATATTTAACAACAACAGTCGTTGACGCATGGTTCAGTGGAGGTAGTACCGCCGCCCCCCGATCTTTAAGGGACCACCAGGGGAGGGGGGTGCAAGCGTTTCACACGTCTTCAAGCGTCCCTCATTAACCAACGATAATCAGCAAATGCACGTAAGGCGGGAATTATAGTTATGACTGAGACCGACGGACCGTGCGACCAGACCAGAATTCGGTAGGCGCGTGTCGTGCATGCAACACACGAAACGAGTGCGGGTGCGTGAGGGGCGGAGGTACATGCAACTCGTCGAAACGTGTGACTACAAGCAGATAATCTCAAACGCAAAAACCTTGTCCTGCTCCCCCCTTTCCGCACCCCGTTGACCGTCCCCTTAGTCATTCACACACAAAGTTAAAATCCAAACGTTTATTTGCCTGTGAGTCACACGGATAAAAACGAACATGTACCACTCATATATCTTCGTACTCTACTCCCAATCAGGTGAGTTCCTCATCAAATCATCAATCCTTCCCCCACTCTCACGTGACGTTTGTTGACTACCGTAATAGTCGGAGAGTTGGCACCGGCGGGAGAGACGGCACCGGTCGGAGAGATGGCACCGGGGTGCGATAAAAAGCCGATAAATGAACATTTAATTCGATTTCTCCTCCTATACTATTCTTCGTCCGTGGGAACGTTGGTTTGTTTCGGCTCTTCCTGTTATCCCAATCCTAACTTGCTTGTGAGACAAGCAAGCCCGACATCGGGAGAAGGGATTCGCTTGCTCGTTTAAAGAATAAATAAATACACGCACAGAAAGTTTACGCACCGGGGTCGGTGAGATCGCACCGGGTGTGATCTCTCCGACCCCCAAATCCAAGATTGAGCTCCTTTTCAGCTGCCGGAATGAGGTACATGTGCGTACCTTTTACACGTGGGGACGGTGTCAGCGGAGCACCACTCCTTTACGTACTATTGGATGGTCGCGGTTCACGCGGGATGCCAGTTGTTTTCATTTTTTAATTGGTATCGAAGTTGCCAACCGTACACTCAACCAAACACACAACGTACATGCCGCACCCAACCCAACCGTACACAACCCGAAACTATTGTACTGCTGCGAAGCTGAAGGAGCTGCTGCAGCAGCATCAGCAGCACCAGCACCAGCACCAACAGTACTGCCACTGGTCTGTGAGGAAGCAGTACCTGCACCCTCTGACATGGCATCGTCTAATTTTTTTTTATTTGCGCTATTTCGCCGCTTTTTTCGGGGTATGTGTATTTCGCTGCCTTGTTCCCGGCGCAGATATGCGTATGTGTGCAGAAGACCGTGTGCATGCGTGGGTACCTACACTGGTGATGGCAGCGGGGTGCGTGCATACAACACCTGTACCTATGTGTATTTTATCGGGGATCGCACCAGTCGGAGAGATCGCACCGGGGTGCCTTGGAAATTCTAAACGAAATGATTTCATTGCATTTCCGCACCGGGGTCGGAGAAATGGCACCGGTCGGAGAGATGGCACCGGGGTGCGAAAAAAGAATCGAGGAAAAAACATTTAAAAAAACGATCGCACCCGGTGCCAACTCTCCCACTATTACGGTAATTGGAACTACACGGTTTTACTACTGTCCCCCTCCTCCCCCCTCCTCCCCCCCCCCACACTTGGCCATCCAAGACGCGCCCGTACACGTCACTCGACAACTCGGCAGGGAGTTTTCCGACAACGGAAGCACCTTCGAGGGCAAGGGTCGGCGGCGGGCGGGAACAACGAAACAAACGGAATACAGCAGGTGTCATTCAATCCTGGTCGCCGGGTTAATAACACAAACGCGCGTGCGACGCTCAGGCACCCGTTTTTAGCCATCGAAAGACAACGGGGCTCCGGAGTTGCCTCGCCACTAGGAGTTCTCGACCGCGGGGTCGGTTATCAACGTGATCCTCCTCGTGGAGAAGGCGTCATCGCCGCGGTAGCTGGCGTTCAACTTGCCCTGTGCGCTCTCCCTAGCCTCCACCTGCACGGCCGCGCGTGGGACAACAAAACCACTCCGTGTGAACCGAAAAGCACTTGGTTCACTACATGACTTGGATCCCGTTCGAGGCGTGAGAAGGAGCAGATGCGACCATGTCATATCGCATCGTGAGTTGCGCGGCTCGGCGATAAAAGGAGGAGACACACGTTAATATCCCCGCTGGTGTCGTGAGCATCATCCAGACAACAAGTATACAACGTGTCCGACGCCACAAACGTGCCCACGTCTCGCGGCGGTCGCTAGGAGGGAGGAGGTACGCACGCCGCCTACGGCGGCGACCAAGCGATGGCAGGGGGCACAACCTGTCGTGCGGGGGGAGAAGGGGGGGGGGAGGTTGACTAACACCGTATGAATCCCGTCCAGCGGTTTCCTGCTCTTCTTTGTCCCCTAATCTTCTCACCTTGCGCATGAAATACATCTGGTTCCTCGAGCCGTCGTGCCGACGTCTCTCCAGCCAGCCGGGATCGCGGGGGTCGCGGGTGAAGTCGTTCCACGCGGTGGTGTCGAACTTGTCGCTGTAGAAGTTGTGCCGCGTCAGCGACTTCGGCTTGAGCGTCACGCATTCCCTGATCGCGGGTGGCATCATCATCGTCATGTTGTGGCATTTGATTCTTGTCGTTCAAGCACGCTCCTTATAGGTTTCATTGCTAAGGCTAGGCCTTCCGTAGAAAAAATACCACCGTCGTTTGTACCTCCACAGTCTTGCCTTTCTCAGATGAAGGGGTCACACCCCAGAATTTTACGGTGAAGCGTTAATGTTTGATGCCAATGGCGTTCCTGTTGGATGTTTCGACAATGTTGTTTTGGCGTCGACGAGGGAGGTTGCTTGGTCGATACACACGCTGACGAAAGGCGAAGGGCAAGTCCATACTGGAGCGTGCGAGGGGCGAGAGTCTGCCAGGAGCGGGGTTTTGAAAGGGACAATAACTCGATGGTACACTTTACAGACGGAGCAGGGATGGTATTTGATGCCAGGACAACAACAACACAATGGCAATAACTAGCAGTTGCGAAGGTGTACCGATTCTGGTAAAAGTCAATCGACGGATACCCTGCGAATCGGGTCCTCCTTAACACTCTCCACCCACAGAATTTACCCTCAACTGGGAACCTCTTGTGGCCAGGACGGGTAATTCGATGGAAGTGTCACAAGGTTCTTTATAGGATCGATTCCAAGAGGTGTTCTCAGGACTGACACAAATTGTGTCCATGGGAAAATGTCCAAGTCAGGAGAAAAAACGTGCACCCAAGGAGATTCGAACCAGTATCCAGCTGACGCCATATGCGAAGGTGTACCGATTCTGGTAAAAGTCAATCGACGGATACCCTGCGAATCGGGTCCTTCTTAACACTCTCCACCCACCAAATCTGTTGTGATATCACGCGCGGGTTCATATCCCGTCGCTGACGCCATATGCGAAGGTGTACCGATTCTGGTAAAAGTCAATCGACGGATACCCTGCGAATCGGGTCCTCCTTAACACAGTAGCGAGCGCATCAAGGACACCACTAGCACCCACAAAACCCTTACCTTACGCCATCCGAGCCATGATTGACGAAGTTTTTCTCCTTCTCGCGGAGCCCGCCGATGATCTTCTTGAAACCGCGGCTGCGAGAAATGTCTTCCACGTTTGCCGCTATCGACTGCGCGGCGGGACGGACAAAGAGGGAAAACATGAAAAAAAAACGTGGAACTAAATGAACGCGCACACACCCTTTAAGAAGCGTTTTCCGATTATGACCGAAGTTGGGCAGTATGGTAGATTAATTTGGATTGGTCAGTATGGTCGACGCTAACGATGCGCGCATACAGAGCGAGGACGACTTCCCCACGAAACGCCTCCCTCCCTAACTCTCTTCGGTAGGACCAAGACCTGTGTGTCCTGTTTTCCTAACCTTTAATCCTCCCCTCCCTCCCGTCTCCCCCCCCTCCGGCGATGTTTGCCATCGGGGTTGAGTTTTGGTCGCTTGGTAACGACGTTGTAATACAAGCCGCCCCCCCCGGTGTTGGTCATCGGGGTTGGGTTTTCGTCGCTTGGCAGCGATGTTGTAAAACAAGCCGATCACTTCGTGAGCTCAGCAACCAGGTAACCCCTTCTTTTTTATTGTCTTTGTTTTTGTTTTTTGCGGTAACCATGAATGGTGGTCGAGTAGATTATGTTGTGCGGGGTCGAGAACCCTCACTCCGCGCAAATGGGATAATCGCACGTTGTGTTAAATTGATTGGTCAAGCACCCTCGAGGCAGGTACACAGCACTTATAACTGTCTCTGGAACTGAAAGGACCAGAAAATAAATTAAGTCGTACGCAGCTGTCATCCGTACGCAAGGAAGTAAGCACAAGATGCCGAACACCCTTAGCAGGATGCAGCGCACCCTTCATGCGACTCCCCGAATACCTCACGGAGCTTCGCGCTGGGTGATGTGAGAGCTTGATCCGGTGAAAAACCGGCGTGCTCCGTCCCGGCTTTGTAGGGATGCGAGGTCAATGGTCTAACGACTACGGCATGCACGACTATGAGTACACCCTCCCTCCCGCCCCTAACGGTCTGGACCGTTTTTGTTCCGCACCTTTTGCGCAAGTCCCTGTCCGTAGAGATGCAAGTCGTGCTTGTGGTTGTCGAGGAATACTTCTGTCATGATGCGACGTCCGACGACCTTCTCTGCCTCGTCCAACACGCCGTCCCCGTTAACGTCGAAGCGCTAGAGTGACGAAGGAGTTTTGGCGGTTGATTAGACGCCACCGAGTAGATTAGACGCCAGCGAGTATCCATCATCGGAGAGGAGGGGGCTTTGCGTGTCTTGGGGAAGCCTTGTTTAACCCCTTAGGTGAGTTGAGTGAAAAGTGTGAAAAAAGGCTTGTACTGGAGAGGGAAAAGAGTGTACAACACCAGTGGTCGGCGCGGTCGTGCGTGCGAAAGGTTTGATTTGCGAGAGGCCACATCGTAGAGTTGCTCGCTGCGCGTGGAAGGTTTGCGGTGTCTCAAGAGCTATGTGTTTGCAACGAAAGACAGCAACGCAGCCAGGGGTCCCCAGAAGACGTGTGCGAGCTCGAATTCATCACACGTAGCGCTCACGGAACAAATCACACCATCCACGCCCCTCCCTCCCTTGCCTGACGCACTCGTTCTCCTGCCCCACCGTGTTTTCGACAAAGTTCAATATTCTCTCCCACGCAGAAATCTACGTACGTTGTTGATGAACGTGGGTGAGATCGCTGGTGACAGAGTGCGTTACGTTGAGTTCCTTTCGCTGCACCGTGCCACAGAGCTTTCACGAGTTTTTTTGGGTCGGCTCGGGGAATGGTCGGGGTGCCCTTGCTCAGGAGTCAGAATAGGGTTTCAAGACTGAACAATGTGCAATACTAGAAATTCTCACTCGCGATGGGGCCAAGCACACTCCCAGCCTTCTTGAAACATTCCTATTGTGATGTCTGAGACCTCCCTTTGCTCCAATCCCCCACCCCCCCGGCTCCGTCTCGAAAGGGACGCGTGGTCAATGGTCAAATGACTACGGCAAGCAACAAATGAGTACGCCCCCCCCCCCCCGGGTCGCGCCCTCTTTGTATCTAGGAAAATGTTACGACCTGCTATGTTCTAGCTGATGCTTTCCACGGACCGACGTTTCATACTAGCTCTGACCTTCGCGAGGGCGTAATCCTCCTGGCTGACCACTCCGTCTCCGTCGATGTCGTACGAAGGATGGGGGATGTTTTGCGCCTTGATGAGCGCTCGGAAGTCGCTCTGCGTGGCGACCTGGGGGATATTGTTTACCTGGGGCGTATAAACAAGCGCCGCGGGCGCAAAACGTCAACATTGCTGTATGTGCACTCGTTTGAGAAGCGATTCGAGGCCATTCTTCCACATCAGTCAAAACGGTGAAATATTTCCAGGCCCCCGTCGATTCCTGGATTGATCTATACCGGTGGAAATATCATAGAAAAGGAGGTCTAAACAAACGGCTGCGTGTGTCAGAGGGGACAAAGCGCCGCACATTGCTTCGCTAGTGGCCATACCATGCCCGCTTACCACCTACAGATTCCTCTCTCCCTCCGTTTTATCCAACGAACCTTTTAAGCAGACGACGTAGACCATCCAAGAGGTGGTTGTTCCAAACGAAGATCTCCTACTGGATAATCAAAACTACCTGCTGGTAGCTCAATCAAGGAAACAACACCGCAGCATTTCATCCCACCACCATTCAATAGTCAAAACCATCCATCGGATCCTCTTTAGTGGTGCAGCAGCAGCGCGAACCATCCCCTTCTCCCCATTCCTTATCCGCGATGACCCCGACCCACCTCCGGGTCAAGCATGAGGGTACGCAATGGCACTGTTCTGGAACCTTTGGATCTCGCAAACCAGCTCATGTCACTACCATCGTCTTCCCCGTTGCCGCCGCCGCCGCCTTTGACCGATGACAGGATCGTGGACGCTTCTGCTGTCGAAGAGGTTGACCCTCCTCCCGATGTTTTCCCCCTGCACGGCGGGGGGAAAAATCGAGTAACGTGTAAAACGCTAATAGCGTGGTGCTGGTTCCCTTGCCGGGATTGGAACAATAAGGTTGCGCGGCTGTCTCTCTTTCGAGTAACTGTCTGCCGGGAACAAAGGTTTGGGTTCGAGGTTGACCGGTACCGACCGATACAGGTTGCAATCGGGGAGGTGCACCACGCACAGTCAAGAACTTACACCGTGCGTGCGCTACTGATGAAGGGGGTTTATACGTTTCGTCCTGGTCGCTCGAAATTCCATGATGTTGTACGCATAGACAGACGTTCAGCGATACTGCCTGAATCACCCACACGCTGGACTTGCGATTGTAGGATCATAACTGTTTCTTTTGTAAGGAAAGTCTGAACCGCCCGACTGCAAATAAGAGCACGAAAATGTTGTTCGCAAGGATACTCCGAACGCCGTGAGACACACTGCTGTTCGAGAAAAGAACCGTCTTCTTCCAGGCTCGGCCGTGCTTAGAGCTTTAGTGATCCTTTGGTCTCTCTCTTGCCATTGTGGAATCCCACTTCCAGTGACGTGCCTGGGTGTGCTCCGAACGAAGCCTTCACCATGGGCAGCGTAAGGCTCGTTTCCGTCACACAGCCCCCTACAAGAGCTCGACATCGCACACAAGCCTTTCGCCAGGCCCACCACACACACGCGGCAAGAGACGGCACACGCAACATGTGGATACTCGCCGTTGTCGTGGCTGGTGGTGGTGGTGGTGGTGGTGGACGTGGTGGTGATGGTGGCTGTTGCGAGAGCGGTTTCTGCTCCTTCCACCCTCCCACGCCCCTTCTCCCTGTGGCCTGCCTCTCCCGCTACCGGCAGTCGCACTGACTGCACCTGTGCTTCTACCCTTACCGGAAACCCGCCGAGGGGCCCTTCTACCGTTTCTCACGCGCCCCCCCCCGCCCCCACCCCTTCCTCCGGCCTTTCTTCCCGTTCTACTGCCGGCGCCGCCTCCTTGGAAGCTGCGGCTTGGATGTGGGTCCTGACTATTGTTCCTCACGGCGATCGTTTCGACATCGACGGCCGAGCTCTTCGGATCGAGCCAACGAAATGCGTACAGATCCACCCAGGGGACAGGGGCGGGGGAGGCAAGAAGAAGGAAGGATGAGAACACGAATACGATTGGTTCTAAGCTGCGATGAAAGAGGCAGTCTATGTGGACGCTTGAGCTTGTGTGACAGCTGTGTATGCCGGCACATGTCCCGTGGCCATGTACTGGGCTCCCCGCCAAACAATTGCCATACCGGCATCCTCTTTTCCTCCCATTGTATCCCATTGTACCAGATACATTTCTCTGTCTCTCTCGATCTCTCTCTCGGAGCCCTGTGCCCACCCCTCGCGCACGCAATTGCGACCCAACCTCCTTTGGATGCTGGGGTGTCAACCACAAAAGCCGGTTTCATTGGAGACACCGTGAGTAAAATGCGGTTGGACGGGGATACAGTTTGACTGACTGAAGCAGCAGTGGTCGGAATGCTCAGACACCATTGATATCTACAGTACCAACTAACCTGAACAGTCTCATCGTCCACCAGAGAAGCCGAGGCTGCCTGTTCCTTCTTCGCTTGCCTTGCGAGGTTGGCCCTAACGATGTTAACGTACACCTGCCGGTATTGTCGCCATCAATCAACACTTTGACGCCATAGAAGGTGTTCATGTGTTGATACTTCTCCATTTCATCATTGCTAGCCTCTGCACAAGGCGCTGGCACGGAAGTTCCGAAGAAACTACCCAAAAAATGTTAGCTGATTCGCCAAATGGTGGACCTGGGTCCCGTAAATCGTCAGAGGTGGTGTCCCCGGTCTAGGCATTGTTGTACGCAGCCATACTTGCCGGTAAAACAACATGCTTCCGAGCGTTTCGCAAAGAAACATTGCGACTTGACCTGGAGATTTGTTTGGGCTGTTCATTCTTCTACAAACCTTATCCGTATCTTTCATTCTACCGGTGAAATACACATTGGCAAATGTTCAATTCGTTGGCCACCTCGTCAACATCAAGCATGCTGTAGGGCTGTAGGTGTCCTTGCTATACAGCGGCTACGCAAGGGTGGTGTGATCCTGTCCCTCTTCCATCACTCGCCATGCACCCCCACCTCCAAGTCTTCGCGGTCGAGCTTGGACAGCCCTAGGGGAATATCCGCGCCGCGGTCGTCGAGTAGGCCGTTCGCTTCTCCGCCACCGCCACCACTGCCGCCATACCCGTCAACTCCGTCGTTGGTAGTGACGGCGGTAGTGGTAGGGTACAGCGGAATGACTGCACCAGACGAATAGTTACTGCTGTTGCTGTTCTCGAGCGCAGCTTCTTTGCGGGAAAGCCCTGGCGACGACCTAATACATCGAAGAGATAGGTTCGTGTGTTCTTCGTTGATTCGTTCGCGTGGATGAATACTTGGCTAGCCGTCGCGGATTAATCCCTTGTTGTTATTGTGCCCCATATGCAAGAGGCGTTGAACAAATTCATTGTTGGAGGCAAGGACGATTCTTAGAGTCTTCGCACAGGAGAGTGAACGGACTTCGAACAATAACTGCACCAACCACGGATCAATTACTTTGGGGGTGTGAAGAGGCGGCCGTTCTCTCCAGCCCCAATTTCCGGGTTGGAAGACGAGGGGCGTCCGTAGGCGCCGGCGGTAGTCCTCGGCCGTGGCGGGGTCGCTCCTCCCCAGCCGCCGAGGGGGGGCAGTGGGTTATCTCCTCCCTCGAGGTTTGGGACCTTCCAAACGTGTGGTGCCACCGTCCGTTGTTTCGAAGAGAGCAGTTCACAAGAAGAGAGGTTCACACCGAAGTGCGTAGAGGGCACGCAGAGGTGTAAGCGATGGTTAGGGAGAGCAATCTGCGCCCACGTCGACTTCTTTACGTAGATAGCATCGCTTTCAGAGGTAAATTGTTTGGCGCTATTTTCTGGAAAGCCCAGACAATTACGTGGTTCACTCACGTGAATGCTCTGGTGGTTGTGTGCACTTCGCCCCAGGGCTGGTGTCGAAGCCGAGCCTAGTAACGCCCCTCCCATCCTAGAGCAGAGGTGGACGTATCACGAATAGCATGGAGGGAAAAGGGTTTAGCTTACAGGGTAACGATATGTGTACGCCAATGATATTCAAGACATATACAATATAACCCCCCAACAATACCGTGCCGCGTACTCAGGCAAGCTCCGTGTAGTAAACGTTCTGAAGAGACTGCTGTGCTACCAGCAGCAAGGGTACATGATGTAGCACTTTACACACTACCATGGAGTTCACATCAACCAGAGCACATCACATTGGGATACCAGATAAGACCAAAAGTATGAAGCGAGGCTCCAATAAGTTTGTGGAACCAAGGCAAGGGCCTCCGGCACCCACCTGCCGCTAAGTCTAGCCGTCAGTTGAGCTGATGCTATGCCGTGAGAACGCTGCGATCGACTTGCCGCAGCCGCGTTCGTAACCCCTTGAGACACCCGCAGTGTCCTCCTGCCGGACATGATTATGTTGCCCCTAGTTCACACAGCGGGAACGTCGACCAGCAAATCACGAGCGCGCTCCCTGACAGCAAGGTTCTCGGGAGATTCCTGCGCTCACCCTACACCACCGCAGTATTGTATGTTCTGTTCGCGTGGGCTGTGGGCAAAGCACAGAACTCTCACAGTACGAACTCCAAAAACATTTCTCCGAGTCCCTCTTCTGGCTACGCAGTCACATAAGCCCTCTCTCTTTCCCTCTTGGTCACTTTGTGCGCGTAACACTGCACACGAGGCCACGCACTAGCGCACCCGCACGTGCATGCATGTGCGGCGAGACTACTGTGCATGGTACCGGTTGGGGAGGGATGCGGAGGGACTCGTGTCGATTCGGACGGGGATTTCGTCGATTGACGACTGCTGACGACTGACGACTGACGACCAACTGTTGCAACCCCGCGACCTCCCGTCACCAGCTTGTTACTCTCTACAACCTCCTGCTGTTGTTGTTGCTGTTGAGGAGTTACGGAGTTTCACACAGGCGCGAGGGAATCGAGAGAAATCCTGGTGTGTCTTACAAAAACGAATTTTCGATGCCACACATGCGCATACATACGTAGTCTACATCGTACGGTGTTGTTGTTGACCACCACCAAACCGTCTTATTGAGCCTGTTAATCACAGGGGATATATTGCAATATGCTTGCTCAGGGAATCTCCGAAACACAGGTAGTGTCCTCGGACGTTATGATGGAATCATTGCTAACTGCTGTGGATAAGAGTGGAGTCGTTGTGTTTCCTGTAGAGGGACAATAAAAAAAACGCAACCGACAGAGTGAAATGTCCATGCGGGAAAGAAGGAGTTCTTGCAAGCAAGGTTACGTGTGTCGTCGTGACGTTAGCAAAGCACGAGGGATGAGGGAAGTGGTCAAGTCCTTACAACGGCTTGGGTATACATCCCATATTTTTTCTCGATCGGACGCTTCGGGGTGAAAGACGTTTCTCCTTCATGTGCAAACACCGTCGAGAGCACGTCTGCCGCACGTTGTGCGTCCGGAGACTGTATGTCGCACAACACGCGCTCGGTAAGCAGTGTCTAAGCATGCCACCACGTCCTCCTGTAAACCACTGCACAACATGCATTTTCGCCCTCACTCGTCAAAACGGGCCGATGCTTTGTCGCAACTGATAAAAAGAGCGTGTAGCCCTCCTGCGACGTTTCATCCATTGACAACAACCGAGGGAGCATTTTGCATGCAATATACTTGGCTCAACCCCTCTGCAGCTTCGAGAACTTTTGGATACCAAAAAGTCGTGGTAGTTTCAAGAAGACGCCATTACCTTCATTATGCCTGCCGCCCTAAATCGACCACGCATCAGACTAGAATGCCGCACGGGACTTCTTGCTTGATTTCCAAGAAAAAAAACGATCAACAACTTACTTCCCGAAATCAATCTGTTATGTTATAAATACGTCAGTCTCAATCTCGATCGTGCTCTCGGCCTTTTCTGCTCAGTTGCTGCTGCCAAAGGCAGAGAGGGGTTGAACACGAGCGTAGCCCGTGCCGGTCCTACTCCACCATAAAAACACTCTTTTGCGGTGCGTCCGACTACTGTTGCTGGCGCTGGCGGGGCGCGCACTTGATGATGTCATCCACCCGCAGAACCATTTCCGCCGCCTCCGCCGCAGATATAAGCACCTGAAGGTGGCAACAAAGAGGGTACACAAAACAGGACCCACGAAGGAAAAGGTTAGAGGGCACCAGGTACACGCACTCTTGTTTGATGGTCTTGTGCCTTCTAGCGTCGTTAGAACAAAGAAATGCGGTGCAAATAAACAAGAACGCCGCTGAATGTTTCGCAAGGCCGTATGTGCCAAAAAAAAAAAAAACATCCACGTACACGTTGCGTTGATTCGCGTTCTGACGTCGACAGTCCTTGATGCAGTAGGGACGCAGCTGCTTGTGATACTGCGGTGCCGCCTGCTCCTCACTTTGATTCGTTTTGAATTGTATTAAAAAAAAAAAAACGCGCCCCATAGTGTGATTGCACAACATCCATGCGATTGTTTTGTTTTTTCTCGCCCCACCTGCAGCTTGCTCTTGTATGCCTCCCGCACACCCAACGCCTTCATGTCGCCCACAACTCCCTGCTGCATGTCCAGCCCCGCAGTCTGAGACGAAAAAACACACGTACAAGCACAACCACATGCGGTTCACACGCAGACACACGAGAGACAGGGGACCATCGTGAAGGACTCATTGCTTCCCTCTTCACGAAGGACTGACGCGTTGTTTTTGGTCGGCGAGCCACCAACAGGGAAGCCGGTGGTAAACACAACAGAACGACCGAGCGATCAGATAACAGAGTGGTATGCATGAGAGACAAGAGAGCTCACGACGAAAAAGCACACGGCATCGAAAGAGGCAAAGAACGTTCGTCGAGAGAGATAAAGAACCGCAAAGCCAAAAAAAAAAAAAAACACGCAAACGGATTGAACAACCTTGACGCCAGCGGCAGGCAGCACGGAAACCTTCTCAAGACGCATTCCACGAAAAAAAAAACACCCTCTCACCTTGGCCCCCTGGGCGTGTGCGGCGCGAAGGCTAGAGATGAGATCGGAGCCGTCGTAGCCCCCGTTGTCCGCGATGATGGTGGGCAGCTGCCGGAGCGCCCTCGCGTAGGCCTCCATCGCCAGCGCCTTCTTTCCCGACGTGTTCGGCACCTGCGGGGCGCGCGAACAGGGCCATCAGCAGCAACGACAACAACACGCAGGAGAAGGGCTATACGCTTGCTGCCCGCGAGACCGACACTCGAGCGCACGACGTGATGGCTTGACGATATGCAATGTCGACGGGCTTGGGGGTTCAAGACCTTACGTCTGCGTGTCTGGGGGGATTTTTCCGATGCATGTTCGGGGGTGAACGCGAGTCGCCAACCCAAAACACAGTTTACGACAGCAGCAAAAACCGACGAGCAGACAAAGTCACATCGTGCGCCGCGCAATCGCACCAAGCGTGATTCATTTTCACAACAATCTTGGGCAACGAGAACCGGGCTTGGAATCTCCTGATACGCTACGGCTGTCACCCCGGTGCCTTGTAGTCGAGGCATTTCATGCGCTCTGAAAAGCAGGAAAAAATCCAGCGCCCCTTTGCCACGATTCGCTATCCCTCACCCGCCCTCAACGTGAGCAGCACGTCCGCCGTTTTGGTTGCCCGGTCTTTCAGCACGTTTCATGGCACCGCCGACACACCTTCTCTCTTGTCTCTCTACCCTTCACCCAACGGAACACGTTCCCCACCCGCTTCACCCTGATCGTCGACATCTGCGACACTTCTTTCGTCCCTCGGCACCCAACATCACTTCCCCTCGCCGCATGGGCTTCTCCCTCCAGCCTTACAAGCACGTTGTGAATACCGTAGGTGACACAAGATATCACACACCCTGGACCGATTTCCAAGGCCCCGCAACTCCATAGCAGTAGGAGTGCTGGTGCCGAAAATATAGGGGCGTTGGAACCGTCTCTTCGAGAGCGTTCGGTTAGGTTCGATTTTAAGTCCTCTCCTTCGCCATGGAGCAGTCTAAATTGAAGATCGGTCTAGGGGGTGTGTTATCTTACGTCACCCACGGTTAGACCTCGAGATTACATTTTTTTTGGCCAAAAAAAGTGTCCCGTGGTCTGAAGCCTAACAGACTAGAGCCAGTTCAAAATAATCAATCAAGACTAGAGCCAGTTCAAAATAATCAATCAACGCTCCCTAAAACAGGTGGCTACGTCACCATAACGCTGAAAATACGAAAATACATGACTCGACTTGTGAACTCTGTCAACAACAACCAAAGCGCACAACGTGCACTCCACACAACACACACAGCCACCGGATCACCAGCAAAGGATCATGTGCACTACACTGGCGGATCGGGGAAACTAGTGTAGCCCATCAGCTCGAGCAGCAGCGCATGCATATGTATGCATTCAATGCATGCATTCACAGCAGCAGCCAAGTCGGAACATATGCCGATGAGAGTGGAAGAAACATACATGTAGCCGGAAAAAAATCGGTGTCATCAGAGGCAATTCCAGGCGCTGTTTCTATCCGTTCTGCCGCCACCCACAAGCTGCCACAGGCAATCCTGAGTAGATGCGCCGCTAGCCCTACTTACACTGATTCTCGGAAGCTCTCAACTTTGCTCGCCCTCGATGAATTGGTCTCAAAACACACGCGAGCGTGTTTTCGAAATGGCTTGAAGTTGGCGCCTCGAGCAAGAAAATTCAGCCAAGTCATGCCAAATCTGCTGCTGGGCATAACAACACGCTCAAGCACATAGTGGGACCAATTCATCGAGGACGAGCAAAGTTGAGAGCTTCCGAGAATCAGTGTGAGCAGGGCTAGTGGTGCGTGTGCTCACGATCGCCCGTGACAGTTTATGGACGGCGAGAGACATGTGAAACAAAGCTCCAAGATGTGTGATGTTTCGGCCCCCCTTTTTTCGGATTTTCAAGATGTGCGTCATGTCGCCCCCGGGTGGTAAAGCAACAAATGACATCACAGCTTCGCCGCGGCTGCCCTCAAGGGCTTCCGAGAACCATGATGAGCAGAGCTAGCCGCGCATGCCATCAGTATCGGCAGCCGAAGCTCTCTGGGTGGTGGAGGATGTGTGAGACCGACAGTCAAAGCTGTGTGCGTTGTGTGGTCTCTGTCTTGTCCTTTTTTTCCACGCATGCAACGAACTTCTGTTGCTGTGTTGGCATGGCATTCTGTTTTCAAGTCAAAAACTGACCAAGAGTGCCGATACGGCGTTTACAATCTCTCGACCGCAACAGCTTGGATCGGGATGCGGTTTCGTGCGGTGTGTGCACAAAACCCAAAGGAAGAGATCACTCGGTTCAGTTTTTTTAGCTCAAGGGAGAAAAAACGAGCAAATTGGCTAATACCCTCTAAAATCCAGTAAAGAGCGCATGTTCTCGGTATTCCTGGGTGTGGGCAAAAATTCGCAACCGAGTGATTCATAGAGTATAATCTGTAGACAAGTGTTGTCAAGTATGAAGCGCCAACTCTCCACCTGGAGCCAGCATTTTGTGTTGTAAGATCTGGTTCTCAATCCAAGACAATAAAAATTCGGCCACCGAGTCAGAAAAAAAAAAAAAATGCTTTTTAGGCTGGTTGTTACGCCGTTTTTTGCTGGTCGTTCGCGGTCTAATCTCGAGGTCTAACGCCAGTGGGCTGAAGATCGGTCCATGGGTTGTGATATCTTCTTTCGTCATAAGTGGGCTTTTACCTCCGCGTCGATGGCTGCGGCCATGGCGATCTCGGTGCAGCCGCCGCCGGGCACCGTGCGAGTCTCCTTCACCGTCTGGGTGAGCACGCACAGGGCGTCGTGCAAAGACCGCTCCGCCTCGTCCAAAACGTGCTTGCTGCGTGCGGGGCACGAGGGTCGCGCGGGAGGCGGGTGAAGAACGAACAAACACCGGTGAGTGCATGCATCGGGAAAGACGGACGGCGGATTAGACAACCCGACGAGTTTAAATGGCAACCTTAGGATATACGACAAAAAATGTAGGTTGGGCGTGCTTTGTTTGTACAGGGCGTCGTGCGAAGACCGCTCCGCCTCGTCCAAAACGTGCGTGCTGCAGCATATGCGGGAGGGAGGCAATAACGAACAAACATGGCGAGACAGACAGCTGACTTAGATGTGGGAGCAGGAACACACGTGCAACGGCCCCGACAAAAAAAAAACAGCAGTCGACGTTGTGCCGTTGCAAGCTGTAAGGTCAAGCTGATTGCGAAAAACAAGCAGTCACGTACGTACGACCCCCTACGCCCCCCCGCCCCCCAAGGTATGTATACACCAAGCCACTGACGTTCGACGCCAACAATACCCAAAACAACAATCACCACCACGAAACAGACATCAACGAGCCCATTAACAGTGGCTTTTCTCTTATCGAGATGCAGGTAGTACACGTCTTGAGAACGGCAGGCGGGTAGAGAAGGTAGCCGGGTCTTCCCCGCCCGCTTACTCGAGATTTCTTCTTCGTCGCGCTCGGCGTCGAAGCAGTCATCTTCGCGCTTCCGAAGAGCGAAGGCCACCGCTTCGACGACCAACACAACGATAAACAAAGCTCCATCAAGCGGGCGGGAAGACCCGGCTGCCTTCTACCCGCCTGCCGTTCTCAAGACGTGTACTTTGGGTCCACAAAAAAGAAGCTTCTTTTCGGTCAGCATGCGCCGGGCGTGGTTAAAACTCCGGGCCGAGACAAAACGACTCCTGAGCTTCCGGCCTGGACTTGGTCCTGGGTTAACATTCCCGACGGCGGGGTTGGAGGAGCGGATACGGTGCCCCCCGGCGGACAGGGGGGGTAGGGTCCCCGTGCAACATCTCGTAGTGTGGCTGTACGAATTTAAACACCCTCCACACGCGCAGCAAGGCCAAAGGCGCGGATCATGTTACGTACGTACCTGCTCGCTGATAGCACGCACAGTAGTACCGCGGGCTTCACACGATACTCAAATCACCTAATGCAAAACGAAGATAGAAATTTTATTTTTGCCTCGAAAGCAGCTGCAGGAGAGGTTTGCGATATCATCATTCATCACTCAGAAGGCCCAACTATCCAGCGTTCAAGGCCGAGAGATATTGACGGCAGTGAGGTCGTCTACAAACCAAAAATGAAGGTCACCGGGGGGGGGGGGGTTACGCACCTAGCCCCCCTGAGCACGATGGTGCACGCCTCCCCAGCCTTGCAGCCGGAGAATCGGATCAAGGTGTCCTCGCCGATCATAACCTGTCCATGCACGCAACATCAACAAAAACATAACAAGACAAGAGAAGCCTCAGCAGGTGGACGGATGGAGACGAGCAGAGGAAAGAAAACGAGTCGTCTGTGCTGCTGCGTGGAGGGCTCCTTGTTCCGCAGCCGAAGGGCCAACGACATGGTACTTACACTTCCCGTGCTTTTCACTTGTCACTTCTCTCTCCTCTCCCGTAGACTGCACATCTTCCGTTCCACATAGCCGAACACCTTCCACCAGCTCTCATCAAACTCAGGCAGCAAACAAGCTTGTGTACCTCCTGCTCGTCCCTCCCGGTAGGTGAAACAAGATATCACGCACCCCGGACCCATTTTCAAAGCTCGATTTACTCCAACGCAGGCGGTGCCGAAATGGCGGCGCTGGACCCAACCATCTCACAACGAGAGCTCCGAAAACATGTCACATGGTTGGAGCATCCTCTTCGTCGTGGAGTAGAAATCGGGCTTTGAAAATCGGTCCAGGGTGTGTGTATGGCATCTTGTGTCACCTGCGGTGGCCCTCTGCCCCACACGAAAACTATGTCACATGATTCGTGCATTATCTTCGTCATCGACCAGTAAATATAATCGAGCTTGAGAATCGGGGGGGGGGTGGTATCTTGTGTCACACACGGTAGCCCCGCACGCACCTCCTCGATCTTCTTGCACTCCCCAAGCACCGCCAGCTCTGGGTGGTCGAAGGTCGACGCCGTGGCTCCGCCGGTTACCGCCGCCAGTCGCTCCACCCCTTCGAAGTCCGCGTGCTCGATCGCCATCACTCCAGCCTCCGCGAAAATCTGTTGCGATATCGATCAATCGATCGTGTTCGGCGGCGTAGCCCGTAGCGTCATCATTATCCGTCGACGACGAGAAAAGCAGATGACGGTACCGTCGGAGGCAACCCAAAACCGAGTTATAGGTGTACATCGCCGACGAAACAACAAACAACAACAGGCGTGAGAAATAAACACATCAGAGCAAAGAGAGAGAAAGCAGCACACCGCCAGCAAAGCGGCTAGCAAACGACAGAAAGAAAGAAAGAAAGAAAGAAAGGGAGCGACCGAAAACACACACACACACACACATCGCGAGAGCACGCCAAGTGAATATATAATCATGGGAGATAGATCTTGGGAGGCGGGCGGGTAACGCTTCAGTACGGGCTGGAGAGAGTAGGACTACAATAGCTTGCAGGAGACCTACTACATACTCCGTGGAATTGCTGGAGACTCTGTCTGCCCTTGCTGCCAACCGTTCCAAGAAGCAATATTGAGAATGCGTTGTATTCGATCGTCACTCTCTTCCCGCCTCTCCGCCAAAGCAGCTGCCCCCCCCCCCTTCACGCGTCCCACAACACCAAAAAACGGTATAACGCAAACATCCCGATAGAGAGTTGACAAACAGTCAAGTGAACCAACCACCCACTTGATGTAGACAACAAAACAACTAGGCTGTTAGACAACCATCCCCAAGGTGGAGAGCGCTCGCCCCCCCCCCCCGTCGTCCAACAACGCCCGCTGCTCTCGCTTGCTTGCCACCTAACGCCTCGCACCTGTTCGGGGAAGTTGTAGATGAGCTGGCGGTTGACGAAGACGTTTACTCCGTGGTCCACGATCTTCTTGCACTTTTTGCGCATCTTGTCCTTCTCGGCCTCCTCGATCTCCGCCACCTGCTCAACACACGTCACGTCATGCGTGAGAGATGCATTGTTGAAGCAACACCAAACACATACAACAGCTTTAGCATCACCAGCAGGAGGCTCCACATTGACGACGCCAACAACCGATGACCACACGGCTACAGGTATACGTGCGAGAGGATCAGTTTCGTTCTCTGGAGTGGCAGGGATATTGATAAATGTCAAACAGGTGCACATCAGGGCGGCAACACAACACACAAGAGTCCCTCCCTCAACAACGCCGTCGTCTCTAAACTTAACCCACATGATTATACCAATACTTGCACCTCATCTCGACTAAAGTGCACGCACGTCAAGACCCCAAATTTTCTATTTTGAGACCCCCCCTCTCACACTCCGTCCACTGCTGTCTAACCTTGTCCATCGTGTCTACTTCGGCTTCAGCCACGAACGCCCATTTTCATGCCACAGTGACAAAACAACAAGCATAAAAAAAGAGACCGTCGAACAACACGAAAATTTCATGAAGCAATCTTAATCTTGCCTCACAGAGGGCCGCTCGCTCTACCTGGGCGCCTGTTCCGCCTGCCTGCGTGTCCGTTTGCCTCTCCCCGCCCTATCGGCGGTCGATTCTACCCCCCCCACCTAACGCTTCTCTCGCCTCCCCAACTAACCCACCCCCCCATGGTCAATGGTCTAACCGCTAAGGCATGCGAAACATCAGCACCCCCCCCCTCTTGCCTTGTTCATCGAGTCAACCCTGACTCGGGAGCCGTAGATCTTGATCTTGTCCGTGTCCATGGCGGTGTTGGCGATCAGGATCTTGGCGTTCTCGACGACCTTCGGCTGTCCCACCCCGATCTTCTTGTTCAAGATAAATCTGGAGGTTGAGCAGCAGCGTCCACCACGTCACGACGAAACGCACAAGGAAATAGGCATAGCAGGGGTGGGGGCAAAGATGCTGAAGTCGGTATTGTTCTTCCTGGAGCCTTTGAGGCCCGTTGACCACAGGGTTCCAGAGCGATCGACAAAGGGCCCTGATAGTGCGAAGCATGTCGACCCTAACATTTCGCTAAGGACAGAAAAACGGCAAAAAAAAAAGAAGACATCAAACGGGCAACAACAATACCGCCAACAAAAAGGCATCCGATATCATCATCATAACATCCGCCGCCAACAACACCCGCATCAGATTCCCACCACCACCGCCACCACAACACCTGTGAATGTACCGATACAATCCCCCGCCTTTTTCACCAAAACTCACCCCTCCTCAAGGTAAGACTCCTTCAGCGAACCCCCCGGCATCTTGATTATCTGGATGTAGTCCAGGTTACCCGACCCCTTGAGCCTGAGCACCGCGTTCACGGCAAGCTCCGCAAAACGGTCCTTCTCGTGCGTTAGCAGCTTAGAGCTCAACGTCGTCCTGGGGGGGGAGAGAGATAAGACAAGAAAAAACGACGAGGGGAGGAGACAGACGACAAAAACATTTTCAAGACAAAGAAAAAAGAAAACGAGCGTTTAAACGATCAGCATGCGGTAGAGGTGACATGGACAAAAACATAAAGCAGGGTACTTCGCTAGAATTTCACCCCATAACCCCCACATTGTCGAATGGTATAATGAAGAGGAGTAAGTCGTACACACACCAGGAAACTAAGAAAACGCAAAATGCGAAAAGCAACGCACAAGCACATGGGGGGCATTTGCTCAAACGAGTGAACTGCTACCTATTCCCTCAGTACGCACTTCGCGATGTGGTAGAGGTCATCTCGGAACTTTGCGTCGTCCTTCCCGTTGTCCTCCGCGCTGTCGGCGAGCACTCTCCGGGCCGCCGCCGTCGCCAACCGCCACCCCTGGATGATCGTCTGCACACGGGGACAACAACAAAAAAACACCGGCCACGAGACAACGTAAACACACGAGAAAAAAAAAATACCGGCCACAAAAACAACGAAACACACACGGTTTGTTTCAGAGACTGGGGTATTGACATTGGTCAGTCGGTTGGCGCGGTCAAAGCCGCTTGAAGAAATATGGACATGCGTGCATGGAGTCCTAAACGACGTCGTCGGCAAGGTTTCGCACGCCTCCAAAAAAATACGGGAACAAATAAAGGCGTGGAGTCGTTTGAAAGGACGAGGTGAGAGTCTTGAAGGACAGAAGCACGCGCCAACGTCTAAAGCCAAGCTTCATCTTTTGGTTTCTTGCTATCCACAAGACTCACTCTCCCATCGTTCTGTAACCACAGAAGTGACAAAAATCGTGCAAGTAACGGGTTGAATGTAGCACGGGTTGTCACTGCCGCCATCACCACGACAACATCACCCATACCATACCATACCATACCATTTGCACCAGTCAACAAGAGCAATAGCGGCAGTAGCAGCAGACAGACAGCGACAACAGCACCACCATCACGCATCACCCTCTCCTAGAGATTATACCGCAAAATACTCCCCGTACAGTAGTGAGGAACACAGGATGAGAGACGAGGCAGACAGGCGGACCCAGGTCTGCACTCTATTTTTTTTTTGGTGTTTTTCTATCAGTATCACTATAAATCAGCGCTCACAGACAGGTGTGCACTCAAAAACCTTGATTTTTGTGCATCACTTTAAAAACCAACGCTCACAGCATGAAAAACGTTACACAAAAGAGAAGAGACGAAGTATGATACACCACCAAACCAGACCAGACCAGACGAAGGACACACGTACCTGCGGGTGCAGGCGTTGGTTCACGAGCTTCTCCGCCTCCCTGAGCAGCTCCCCGCAAAGGACGGTGACGCTCGTCGTGCCATCGCCAACCTCGTCGTCCTGCCAGAACAAGCAGAAAAAAGAAAAACACCGTGAGCGCGCAGAACGTTTTCGGTCGCTCACGTGTAAGCTTACACCACAACGAGAACGAGAGAACGCGACAGAACAAAATAGGTGCTCTATAAGACCATCTTTACAGAAACCCTGAAAATGAAAAAATAGATGACGTTACAAGTTTCATGGTGTGTGTGCACATCATGTCGATGTGTGTTCTTCTTCCAAGTCTGATGGTAAAACATGATAAAAAATAGAAAACGAAGGGGGCTTCGGTTCCCCCCCCGCGTTTTTTTTTGTGTGTGCTCGCCTGCGTTTTTGCGATGTTCACCAACACCTTCGCCGCGGCGTTGTCGACGTGAATCGCCCGGAGAATCGTTGCTCCGTCGTTGGTGACGCTGATGCCCCCGTCCCGGCTGCCCATAGACTGCAAAATCTTATCCATACCTGTGTGAGAGAGAGAGAAGGAGAACGAGGGCGGGGGGGAGAGAGAGAAGGAGAGAGAGAGACGGGGGGGGAGAAGGAGCGAGAGAGACAAGAGAGAGGGTGAGACGAGAGACAGGGAGACAGAGACAGAGAGAGAGAGAGAGAGAGAGAAAGAGAGAGAGAAAGAGAGAGAGAGGGAGAGAGGGAGAGAGAGAGAGATTAAAATTTTAGCTAGCCGTGTTGCTCGTGCCAGCCATGCGATGGGTGATGACACACCCTTGTCGCGACGGGCTGCCGTTGAACACACACGTACGGGGGCCGGGATAGGGGAATACACACTTTTTTGTTGTGTTCCCTGGGGTGTGTGCATCGGTCTCAAAGGGCACCTAGTCCATTGACCACGATACTTCCTTGCTATTCCGCACGTCTCGAACGGGGGAAAGCTGGTAAAAGTGGTTTTACCGAGGATCGCGCAAACGGAGGGGCTTGCGGGGCGGGCAGGAAGGAGCAGGGAAGAAGGAGCTTCCACTGCTGCTGAGATGGTGGCGTTTAACGCATCTCTGGGTGGTACACACCTTTACGCCACAGGTACCATGAACCGTTTTCCAGTCGACAACACTACATGAAAACTATATAGACAAAGGTAGGGTGCACCGTGGATTTTTCCGAACCAGCGGCAACGTGATGGCCCATGACGCGGCTGCAGATGGACTTTTCACGAGAAGGAGTACTGAAATTCTGGTAAAATAGGTATCTAACACAGGTGGAGGGACGCCTAGCTCTGGCAAGTGTACCAAGATTGACGGTGTACGAAAGTTTGTCAGTAGGTGACAGTTTGTCGTGGTTGAGAAACGATATTGATGGAGTGAGATACGGAAAACCGCGGAGTAGAAACCATGACCTCGGATCGGATCACAGTTCTTGTGGCAAAACGGCGAAAGCATACAATAGGGTATCGCGGGTGCAGAAAAGTTGCGCGCGACGGCTGTTGCTATCTGCTGTCACCTTTAGGCCCGAGGGTGGTCTTGACAAGGTCTGCAATGGCGATGGCGCCCACGAAGGAGCTCAGGCGAGCGTTGTCGCCCTTGTCCACCTGGGCGTTGTCGTTGAGCACGGCCTATAGCGGAGAAACACACATATACAGAAGGGCGAGAAAGAGAGACAAAGGAATATATTGATCAAGTATTGTGGAATAATACCTGTGCGCCTGATTTCGCAGGCGTGAGTAACGCACTGACAAAATCGTTTGTGCTACTACGCTCACTGCTTGTTGAGAAGATAGAATCCCCAGCTCCAGCTGCAGCTCGATTGCAAAGTTGCGAACAGCACTACCGGAGTAAGACTACACAGGGAAGAGAAATTCAAAGTTCGTTCAGCTTTCAAATTGCCGGTCCACTGAGAGGCTGTGTAGACAATGCCAGAATCAACCGGCATTTCACACGGCAGCAGCAGCACACGCAAAACAGCAAGGCCTTTCGCCTCTCTGAACAGCAGTTGTGGCATCAAGTCTCTAGTTAGGATCAATCCTTAACACGCACCGCCCGGCAATGGCTACACAACGCGGCGACGAAGCCGCCGACAGCAGTCGGAGGGCAGCGTGTTCTGTCAGAAAGTCAGCAGATAGCATTGACGCCGGAACCCCGATGACTTCACACCAGAGCCAACGAGACACCCTCCACTGAGTGGTGGTGAGGGCCGACGTGTGTCAGGCGCTGAGATCCTACTGCTCTAGATAATTGTGCTACAAACGGCTTGTTGTTCGCTGCTGCCGGGGTGCTGCTGCTGCTGCTGCTGCTGCTGCTGCTGCTGCTGCTGCTGCTGCTGCGTCGTGATCCGTTCAAAAGATTTTTACGGCTGCCGCGAGCATCACACGCCTCGATGCCGACAGGATTGACGGCGACGGGAACACGACCAGACTCACCTCAGTCGCCATGATTGCGCAAGATTCTTGGCTTTGCAGCGAGGATGTGCTGTGTGTGTAGCCTAGAGAGCGGTGGGTTGGCGGGTGGTGGACGCCGAGGGGGCACGCAAAGAGCGCAGCATCGAAAAACATCATCCCCACCATATCAGAAGCTCCCAGCAAGGTGCCCCCCGCCCGAAGAGATTTGCTGCTATGTAGGCCTCTACTACACAACCCCCCCCTAAACCCTAACCCTAACCCACACCCACGGGCCAAGCTAGGTTGTTGTGCAGTGCGTAGGCCTAGGTCGCTGTACCGAACTGTTGGAGCGCGCTTCGCGCTCGCCAGCTCTGGCGTATACATGCATATACGCCTCGTGCCGAAGAGAGGGATCTTGGATCTTTGGATCTTATAGGATGCAAATCTCTTGTACATCACATGCATTAGTCTTGTGTACATAGTCCAGCTCTCTTGCTTAATCTTGAACCATGCGTGCGCCAACACAGAGCCATACCTCCTCCTCTTTGCACCATCCCGATTCGAACACGCCCACACCTACCTCATATTTGGGATTTCTGATGTATGCGTGCCGTTTGTTTCGTCCTTCCTGCATCCTGCATGTCACGACAAAAAGACCTATGATCATGAGTACACGCGCTCCCCCGCCCCCCCCCATCCGCGCCCAAGCGTGATTATGCACATTGCAAGCCCGGGACTCCCCGAAGCGGCCCTCCGCCACCTCTTCTTCCAAGCGGCCAGAACAGGAGCGCCACGGCCATCCTCCTTGCCGGCTGCTCGGGCGGGAGGAGACGCCGGCGTGGTGTTGTTTTCGCCTCTTGTCTACGGTACAGTCTATACAGTAGCTGTAGATGGTCAGCATCCGGCTACTTCACCCTGCTCTACCACCCCCGTACAGATATGCTCGGGGCCGCGGCCTGTAGGAGGTAGGGGAAGGGGGGGGTGGACAGCAACACCCCAACACAAATTAATAATGCTGCTGCACGTCAACGATGAATGAAGATCTGAAACGGTTACGTTTTGGTCGCTGTGGAAATGGATGAAACACTTACAATAGAGTAGTTCTAAAGAGCATCTCAGCAGTAGATCGAAAACGCGACCGCCTTTCACATTACTGTTGTAATGCACAATGAGATGGACGGCGAACACAACAAGAGCGGGAACCGAGGGGTACGACATTATACGCACGTGTCCGTGCTCTTGATCAACGATAGCAGGGTGCGGTGGTGAGATGATGCACGCGATGAAAAAAAAACGTCGATGGACAGCGCCTACAAGAAAAGAGAGCAGCTGCCATCCGGAGTGCAATTGATCGAGTTATTATAGGCAGATATCGAGAGTTCACATTTTCCCCATACGACAAGACGTGAAGACTAGTCGGGGTATGTCCGAGACTTCGACCATTTAAGTAAATAAAGAAAACACTTAGTAGTACATTGGGCTGCGCTTGAATACCCGCCCGTCGTGTGGGAGCTAAAACCATCCACCACAAAAAAAAAAAATGTACAGACCTTAAACAGAGCCTCGTGAGCACAAGACGAGGAGCCCCTGAGTAGTAGCTCACACGCACCCTAAAAACCCTTCCTCCCGCTTACGACGGGGACTGGAACCGCCATGCTGGAGAGAGGCGGCCCAGTCAGCTCGCGTGAACGGCCTTCACAGACAAGAACATCATTGCAATCTGCATTGTACCCGCCCTTTCCTCGCAACAACACCCTCCTGAAGTCGAAACCGAACAAAAAACAAGACAAAAAAAACAGCCGTCTTCCTCCCCCACCGCTCTTTCACCCCCAAGTCAAGTCCACTCTCTGCTGCTGGTCTTTTGCAAAGAAAGAAAATCCAACAGCACGTGATCGGAAAAACAAAATGTACTAGTAAAAAAATTGGATGTAGAAGACGTTCATGCGTGCCTTCACTCCACGATCATCCTTCTCCCACCACCAAAATGAGCGTGAAAACACCGAAGACTATGACGTGTGTACCTAAGACAACGAGCAAAATGTTCAGGGTGCAGATCCCCTCTGTTTCTTCGGTCTCTGGGGCTTGGCCGTCTCCCGCGGGCGGAAGGACGTGTGCCTCGCACACCTGAGTCTGATTGTTCATGTTTACAGTGGGCAGTGGATAGGGTGTGGGGTCAAGGTAGTTGTTCGCCGTGGAGTGGAAGGGGTGCGGATAGGTAGACATGGATAGACCTACGAGTGAGGGACAGGATGGCGGCGGGACGTGGCAATAGTGATTGTGGGGGTGGGGGGCGGAGGGAGTCAATCTTTCTAGGGCAAGAAGGGCGCGGGATGGACTTGTCTCTCTCGGTTTGGTTTTTACTTAGGTCCATTTACTCAAAGGAGCCCCTCGAAACAGAGCAGTTGCATTTCCACTCGAGATGCCTCACAAACAGTCGAGATTGTTGCAAAACAGTTGTTTCCAACACAGTTTTGGCCGCAGTGCATGGTCGTGCTAGACAAACGCCAAACAGGAAACAACAGCACGAGCCCACAAGTTTTGCATCCATCCGATCCGTGTATTCGTATGCGTATACTGAAATCACGAGTCTTTCGGTGCGGTCGTCACTCCAATGGCACACACCAGCCAGCCATCGAGCCCCCTCTACCCGACCCGACCCGACCCAACTCTCGGTTTCAACGACTGATCTCCGTGATTGTGCGTCTGTCTGTCCACGTGTGTGTGGACGTGTTTGCGTGCCCCCCATCCATCTTCTTGTGCGGGTCAGGCTGAAGCACAGCGCGGAGTTCAAATGAACGCCGCACGCGATGAGATGCTGCACAAGGAGGCTGACGCCAAGAGAAGACCGTAGCGGATACGGTCTTCTCTTGGCGTCAGTCTCCTTGTTCAGCAATATATCGTCGCCTGCGTTGGTTTAAACTCCGCGCTGTGCTTCAGCCTGACCCATAAGGGAAGATGGATGGGGGGCACGCAAACACGTCGACACACACGTGGACAGGAAAGCAGAAGGGAGAGAGAACGCATTACAGTGCGGAAAATCTTGGGGGCCTGATGCTTGAGTGGTTAGTTGTCGCGAAACTCCGCAACATCTCCACGAAATATTAGGTGGAGAAAATGCCCATTGCTTTCTCTCAGGTCCGGCCGGTGGAAACAAACGCGTCCATCCAGATGTTTCAAAGGACCGGTACTTGAAAATACCATATGCGGGCGCTTGACCAAGCGAGTCATGCACTTCAATACAAAGTGAATACAATCACCAGATGAGAACTTCGTGCTGCCATGCCGTGTTGATACCTTCTCACAGCACACCCACGATCGGACCCAACTCCCGCCCCACTGCAGAAGTACCCACCTCCGCCTCCAGCTCACGAACTTGTTCTCGGAGCCGCTTCACCTCCTGTCCCAGCTCATCGGTCAGCGTGTCCTTGTCGGCGACGACGCTTGCTTCTGCCGTAATTCCCGACGGTTGTTGCTCGGGTGTCTCCTGGAAACCAGGGGCATGGCGAGCTCCGGTGGGCGAACGAAGGTCGGATTCCTCTGCCACCCCCAGCGTTCGGCCAGCGGTGGTTTCGGTCAGAGACACAACGGGATGGTCGGGCTGGAGCTGCTGCTGCTCCTGCTGCTGCTGCTGCTGCTGCTCTTGGAGCTGTCCCTGGAGCTGCTGCACGGTCCTCTCGGCCCGCTCAGCTCGCTCGAGAGCCGCCGCCGCCTCGCCTTCCTTCACGTCGACCGTTGAGAGCTCCGCTTCAAGCGAGGCAACGGTCGAGGGCAACGCCGTTACCTCTAGCTTGGTAGACTTTACCTCGCCTTCAGCTCTCGAATCATTTCGACCTTTTCAGCCGCAGCCTTGCCCTACCCAAGAAGAGGAGTGCGTCCGCCATTCATGCACCAAGCAAAGCACCGGCGCATCAAACGACGAAGAATGAATTGGAACGAGGTGGGTGTTTCCAAGTCAGTGGCAACAGGCGAGACGGAAAGAAGGCGAGAGAGTCTCGTTATGTGTGAATTGAGAGCATTTCAATTGTGGAGGCTTGAGAGACGCCCTCATCACGCTCTGCACGTTTTACAAGAATCATAGAGAACATTGGAGCACAACAAAGTGTGGTAGGTAAGGATGACACGTATGCTCGTGGACGTTCGCCAACCCGTCGCATGGGGTCCGTCACGAAGACAAAAAGAATGTGGGATCCACGGCCGGGTTTTCAGAGAGAGGTACACACAATGCCGGCGGCCACCCGGTATATTACGGTGACCAGTAATCCCCCGTGCATATCCAGATTTGCGTCTGTTGAGTTCTTCGTGTGAGGCACGTGGTGCACAGCCTTAGCATGCATGGTGCATGCAGGGGATTCAATGGTAAGGGGGAATACTCCCACACAACAACGCTACTAGTAGTGAAGCAAATATCGTGTCACCTCCAGCTTTGCAGCCACGCGCGTACTCCAGGCTTGGAGTGTGGAAGGAGGCGTTTCCCTGCGGGCGACAAGTAACACGGATCGCGGCAGTATATGCGAAGAAAAACGTCCGACAACAAGAAACAGCGCGTAAGTATGCAAGCAACCGCCAATTGACTGGCATGCTTACGATAATGCTGCCCTCCAAGCACGGCCAAACATGACAATGTACGGCGAAACATTACCCCTCGTGGGATCACGAATCAGGTGGTACATACGCTCCGTACGTGCGCGATAATTAGTATTAGAATAGCGTCACGTGAAATCTTCGGGTGTTTTCCAGGGGACGGGGGGCGGGGGCGGGACGGAATATCGTGAACGACCGCAGTATTGGTGGGTGCGAGACTGTCGTTCAATGTTGTGGTTCGGAGCCATAGCTACCCTTGAGCAGTGCTTAGTGAACGCTGGGCGGCTTCTTTCCTCCCTCTAACGTTTAGGCGAACAACAACCCCGCTGCACGACAGCACGTTGCAATACCCTCTGCGAACCTACACACCAAGTTGTCGACGGGGACCATGAATTACATGAAGAGCGGGGTCGGGGCGATACCCACCCCCCCGTCGACCTAGCATGCACTGCGCCAAATACACCCACACAGGAGAATTTTTAAACTACGCACCAGATAGCGTCGACACCCGTCTCCTTAGCGTCGTTGGCGGCGAGAGCAGCAGAGGCGCGGTCCACAAGTGTCCCAGAGACACCAATGTAGTTGGCTTTCTCGAGGACAAAGGTCGCGGTCGGGAAGTCGTGCTCTTGGTCGACCTTGTTGTCGACCTTCTCATACGCGAAGTCGATGAGCTTTTGGACTGTTGTCGGTCTGAGCAAGACCTTCAGGAGGTACTTGCAGTGGCTCTCATCCTAGTACAGCGCGATCGCAAAGCAAGGCATCGCGGCGGAGTGAATGTGGAAGGATTTGCACGGGGGGAGGGGGTGCGCGTGCGTAGAGGTACAGACGTTGTCGTTGCTCTTGCCATTGCTGTTGTCATGAACGATATTTTTTTTTAACACCATGGCTGCCTCTGTTTTCATTGGTCGGACCAGGTAGACGAACTCATCATACCAAGCGGGCCACATGCCGCCTCTGCTAGTTAGTTTTACGCATGATTCGCTAAAAGCAGAGCTATCAGGCGGTATACTGGATACGAACAGGGGAGACGTCAGTCACTCGGACAAACTTCCGTAGTGCATGGTAAATCGAACCTAAACTCAAGCCGACCGACAACAGACTACGTGCGCAATTGCCGCACGAAATAGGAACATCGATCGACGTGGTGGAAACACGACGAATAAATGGCGAAGACACGAGCCGTCTTCAATTCTGCCACGATTTGCTCTTAACCCCGCGATCTCTCGCTGTTGGGGAAGGATCCAGTGGTACTGTTTTGTGTTCGAGCTTGCTGATGTGGCCTTAAACCACAGGTCGTCGTAAAATCGCAGACGCCAAGCCTGTGGCGAAACCGACTCGTGAGTGATGCCGGTGCTATACATGGATTTACTTGCCGCCTCTAGGCAAGCTACACGCCAGCGAGAGAGTTAAGGGGGGACTACGTACCCCAATGTGCATTGAGAGAGTCGAC